ACTTCTGCACTCTTGGCAGATCTACCCCTTCCTACCTTGAGAGAAAACAGCCACCCCACCCCAGACTTTTTACTTTGAAAGATTTCTAACTTCTGGAAAACAGAAAGAACAATGAACATCTGCACAGTGTTCACTTGAACCCACACGTCTGTTGTCACCACTGGTCCACAACTTGTTTCTGTTTTTATCAGAATCATTTGAAATGAACTGTGACACATTATTAAATATTTCACCCTAAATATTTCACCATCCCATAATAAGACTCCTGTATGCAACAATGAGCAGGCTTCGTTACCATTTTCACTAAAATTACTAATTCTCTAACATTACCTAATAATATTCAGTATGTAGTCAAATCTCTCTCTCTCACTCTCTCTCTCTCTCTCTCTCTCTCTCTCTCTCTCTCACACACACACACACACACTCTATATTTTTTACAAATCCAAGACCTAACTAATGAGCTTGACTGCTGGCTCTATGTATTCAATACAGACATTCCTAGTTTCACTTTGTCCTCTGACCTCGCAGCACAAGTCTGCACATCATTAAACTTACCTCTGTCTACTTCAAGCCTTGCTTTTTCCTGTTTCTACTATTTAAAAACTGTCCCTCTGATTTGTAGTAATCTCTCGGTCTCTTCCCTTCGGAGCGGAACGCAGGAGGGGATGGTCTCACTTACTGTCTTCTTCCTCAGGGTTCCATCCCTCCACTAACCTGCTGAATCATATCCCTGCAACTTCGCTTGACCAATCCTTTTCCCGGTGCCAAGTCCAAAGGGCATTTTTCAGTGACCTCTACTAAGCCCTGGCCATTACTACCCATGTTCTCCCCAGTCCTCTCCAACCTTGGCATGACTGTGGTTCTCATGCTGGTTAACATTCACCAGTTGTTTTTGATCTTCTCATGCCCCAAATCCACAATTCTCGGATAGAGCCCAAGAGCCACCCATGTAATTACCAAACTGTGGAAGGGGGCGCATGACTGAACTTGTCTTTCCTGTCAGCTCATTCGCCCCTCAACTCCCTTCTGACATGTTTATTGTGCGTGCATGCACACACGTGGAGGTCTGCCCTTCTACAGATCCAGTCATGCCATCAGACTCTGACCTGCTGAGCCATCTCTCAGGTCCTCTCTTTCTTCCTTTTTAAAAATGAAGATACTAGTCCTCTGAATTTAAATTGAAACTTTCCTGTCTGCCTCATTCAGCCAATGAAACCACCCTGGATCCTTTTGATTCAGGTGTGATGTCCATAATTGCAACACTCTAGTAGCAGAGGCAGGAAGATCTCTGCAAGTCTGAGGCCAGCTTTGATCTCCAGGCCAACCAGGGTTATAAAATGGAGATTTTCTCTAAAGAGTGAATAATTAACAACAAAAGGAAGTTTCTACTGTGGCCCATCACACAGATACAGTCTGGCTCTGAATTCCCAGCCCTCTTCTTCAGTCTAAGCTTGTTTTTGTTCATAGTTTTTTTCTGAAACGTCATGGGTCAGGGTTAAGTACCTGCTGATCTTCTGGGCAAAGCCTGGTTGCTAAGGACACGGGAGCCAGAGCTGGGAAAAGCTGGATCCACCTAGCTGCTTCTAAGTGTTGACAACCTCCTTAAATCTTGCATGTTTCTTTTCTAAAACAGGGGTAATGAGCCAGATGAGGGGTACACATCTATAATTCTAGCACTCAAGAATTAGAGTCAGGCCGGGAGGTGGTGGCGCACGCCTTTAATCCCAGCACTCAGGAGGCAGAAGCAGGTAGATCTCTGTGAGTTCGGACCAGCTTGGTCTACAAGAGCTAGTTCCAGGTCAGCCTCCAAAGCCACAAAGAAACCGTGTCTCGAAAAAACAAAAAAAAAAAAAAAAAAAAAAGAATTAGAGTCAGGAGGATTAGGAGTTTCAGCTACAAAACCTGGGCTACATGAGACCCTGTCTCAAAAAAGGGGGTGGGGGGCTAATTATAGCTACTCCAACCGAGGATTATACAATGGTATATGTGGAATATTTGTTCCAGTCTCTAAGTAAATTAAATACCTAATAATAATTGTTCTAAGATGAAGTCTAGGGGCTGGAGAGATGGCTCAGAGGTTAAGAGCACTAGCAGCTCCTCCAGAGGTCCTGAGTTCAATTCCCAGCAACCACATGGTGGCTCACAACCATCTGTAATGACATCTGGTGTACAGGCAAAACATGCAGATAGAACACTGTAAACATTATAAATAAATAAAATTTTAAAAAAAGATGAAGTCTAAACTACTTCTCACAGCCCTTTTTAATCTGGCCACCACCTACTGATCCATCTCATTTTCCATTAACCCTTTCTCATCTCCTGTTTCACAGCCATTGGCTTTTGTACACATAATTTCCTCTTCCTAATTTCCATTGCTTTGTACAAAGAATGAACATGCTAAACCCTCACCCTGTAGTTTGTCCTTTGAGCCTCATACAAGTCTATCACTTAGTGCTTCCTCCTCCATCTCCCTCCTCACTGCACTGTGAGTTCTTCAAGGCAGGTGAGTGAGAAAATGCAGGCTGCAAACATGGCTGTGATCGATCAGGTCCACTTACTGACATTTCAGAGGACCTGGGTTTGGTTCTCAGCACCCACATGACAACTCACAACTGCCTATGCTTATCTCTCTCTCTCTCTCTCTCTCTCTCTCTCTCTCTCTCTCTTCCACACACACACACACACACACACACACACACACACACACACGCCAAGAACCTGGCCCTCTTCTGGCCCCCTGCACACATGTGGGACACATATACTCACTCAGAATCACATACATAAGAATTAAAAGATAACAACTTGGGGCTGGGGAGGTGGCTCAGTGTTTAAGAGCACTGGCTGCTCTTCCAGAGGACCGGGGTTCAATTCCCAGCACCCACATGACAGCTCACAACTTCTGTAACTCCAGTGTCAGAGGATCCAATGTACTCCCACAGACCTTTGGTCAAACACCAATGCATATAATAACAATACTTTTAAAGAAGATTTTTTTTAAGTGGAGAAAATAAAATGAAAAACTAAGACTAGATATGGAAATTCACTTCAGTTATGGCACCTGATAAGGTGAGTTCACACAAAGGGCCCACAGAGCACTCTGTTTCCAGACTGTATCTAGGGGTTGGTTCATGTCACTTCCTTTGAAAAGGCTGGTGAAAGTTATTGAGTAGCAGGCTTGGAAGATAGTACTTGGTGTGGTACAGAGTAGATGGGGGACAGGGACTCAACTGGGTCACAAAAATGCTCCAGGCAGAAAAGGCAACACCAAAGTACATAAATGAGTAAGTGGAGCAAACACAGCTGTCAGGTGGCTCAGTGATTATGAGTGACCACTGCTATTTCAGAGGACCTGTGTTTGGTTCTTTCCGGTACACATGTTAGAGTACATGAACACGAGTCAAAACTGCAAGGCAGCAAAGGCGGGCTTTTCCACATAAACACACGTGTGTGTGTGCATGCTATACACTATGTGTACACTTGGGGGTCTTGGGGGTGGGTTTGTTAAAGATATGGTTTCATATAGTTCAAGCAAGCCTTGAACTTCTGATTTTCCTGCCTAGAATTAAAGGCATTTATCACCACGCCTGACTTAAGTATGTAATCTGTTTTGTTCCCTTTCAGTACTGACAACTGAACATACTAGTCCAGCACGTCACACCATTCCCTTCATGGTGTGTTTTTTAAGAGACAGGGTTTCTCTGTGTAGCCTCAAGCTCACAGAGATCCCCCTTCCTCTGTCTCCCAAATGTTGGGATTAAAGGTGTGCCACCACTGCCTGTCTCCCTACATGTTCTTAAGAGAGAAACTGAAATAACTTCAAGTTAACCAAATGAGAGAGAAATGTCTGTAAAAGGTTCTACCTGGAAACTACCAAATGAGCAATGAGAAGGACTAGCGCATACTAAGTATGTAGCAGTCTGTACTACCAAGGGCATGGTAACTAAGAGAACATTCAATACCCAGGCTGTGTGAAACAGCAGTTTCCAGTTGTGCCTTGCCCTAAGTGGCTCCATGTCATGAGCAGCGTTTGGAGGCTCTTTAAGTCAAGATGCAGAGGCAGGGAGACCACACCACCACCTGTCAGCACCTCTCACAAGGCACAGATTGACAAATCCCTTACTTCTAAAAGTAAAGCACATAAACCTTTTCACCTATAAACTTATCAAAGGAGACAGAGGTGGTGGCACAGGCCTTTCATCCCTGCATTTGTGAGGCAGAGGCTGGCCTCTTTGAGTTGGAGGCCAGCCTGGTCTACACAGTGAGTTCCAGGTCACCCAGGAAGAAAAACAAAACAAAACCCAACCAACAAGCAATCAAAATAAATTGGGATCCTATGAGCACTGAGTGTACTGAATTCCTAGCAGGAAAACCAGATACATTAGACTGATCCAGCCAGCACCCCTACTTGGACCCCATGAAGAGGAAGACTTCTAACCCTGTAATGGCAGCAGCCCCTACATGACTGGTCATGTGACTATGAGTGTGTTCCCTAAGGGCTGACAGAGAACTCCTAACTACCCCTGAGCTCAAGCAGGGCCAGAACCCCCCCACACTGTTGACGCGGCCACCTGTCTGTCCTTCTGGATAAGAAGCTCACCTCCATGGCAAGCTCTAGCTCAGGGCCTCCCTGGGCTCTGAGAGCCTCGCATCTTACCTGAGCACTTGCCTTTTCCTGTACATCTGTAACCTTCTGTAAGGCCTCTTTTAACTCTGCTGTGGCCTCTTTACCCCCAGTGCAGCCCCTCAGTAACCCATACAGTGACGTAATTATTGTGGATGTGTGGTGTCACGTGAGAGAATCTCTCCCCGCCCCCCCCCATGAAGACTGGAATAAAACAACGTTATTTTTTGTCAATGGCCAGCTGTCAAGGGGAATCTCGAATTCTTGGCAAAACCGCAGCCCCTGGGGCCCAGTCTGTGACTCTGTTCTTGGACAAATCCTGGCACCGTGGAAAGGCAAACGTGTCCCTTTACGCGTGTCCCTATCGCGGCATACTCACGACATGTGGCCTGCAAGGTTAAGTCTTAAGATGCGATGGCACAGCGGGCGGGGGTGGTTTTTCTCGACTGCAGACAGTCCTTTTACACTCGGGTCAGTACGGCAGAGACAGCGTACGTTCCCTTCTGAAACCTGAGGCGCCAGGCTTATCACGTTAGGTCCACGTTTTGTTTTGCTTTTTTTTTGTTTGTTTGTTTTTGTTTTGTCTTTAAATTAAAAAGAAAAATATCTCCTCCTCCACAGTTGGGGGAGGAAGCTGTCTGGGAAGTGAGGGGTG